CGCAGCGCAGTCTGCATGATGGTCGGTGCGCTCGGCTGTCACGCTCCCGCTCGCTCACAAAGACCTGTCCTGGGGCCGTATTTGTGTGAGAGAGAACACAGCATCATTTTCTTTCCAGCCCGGTTAACACGGTAACAACAAGCTACACAATGACGGTGACAATAAAGAAAGAAGAATTCAACCACACGTCAATGCAGGTCTTCGCGCAGTGTTCAATCCCGCATTGTCCATCTTTGCATCATTGTATTTGCCCATTGCTATTTTATTTCCATTGTCTATTGATCTATTCCATGTTCATTGCTTTGACATTATAGATGCAGTTTCGTCTATTCGGCGCATGCAGATTTTTTCTATTGCCTGACAGCTGCATTAAGAGAAGACTTCCATCTGTAAACGTCATTCTAGTATGGTTAACATTCCTTCATTAATTCGAACCATATCAAAAGACATTAATTTATTTTCAAAAGACAGTAATTTCAAAGGATACAGTATGCAATTGGCTGCAAAACCCATTCGTGTCGACATACACGAAATGCTCGGAAGTGACGAAACAAAGAGCACGTGATTTGTGTCGAAGTACATATACTGTCTGAATGTGCAAGAGTTAAAAGGGTAAACTTAAGCTTAAATTATCTTGTTATTCATTGCATATCATTTATTGAAGCTGGAAGAATTCAATATCAACCAGAAGAATTGAATAATCAGCAGTAAAAATATTGCGAAAGTTTTAATGTTTTTCAAGCATGCGTAATTCACTGCTGAGCGGGCGCATGTCGTGAGTTGTCATTCTCGTTGTTGCACTCACGAACCCATGAAAGCCAAAAGGAAACCGACGGTCAGGGCGTCGCACACAATGAAGAGCGAGTTAATGCGACACGCCCTGGCCCGTGCAATTACATATATTTGTCCAAATTACTTTCATTGGTCGAGAGAGTCGTCCAGCCAGCATCAAAGTTCATTGCACTCCAGCTGAAGCGTCCCAAATGTACGGGGAAATGAACGAAGCACGCGATCACCAGTGTCTCTACTTGAAGCATAAACAGCTCTCGTGACTTCAAAAGAAATATCGTTTAATTTATTGCTTAAGATGCTCGTATTTCACGAGATATCAGATAAAATTTGAAAAAAAAAGTTAAAATTAATAATTCAATAACATTAATTCATTATGAGAAGAGAACACAATAAACAGTAACTTCATCAAACTGTCAATCGACTTGGCTGCTCAGCAAGGCTACAGCTTATTGTCAGTTAATAAATAGTATTGCATTCGGCACCGAGTAGTATAATGAAGACAATCACGTAATGCTAACAAGTCAGAATATATTCAAGAAACTGTGCAGCAACACACGGCTACACGATGGCAACAAATTACAGGTACGTGGGTGAAATCGCCGTTTGGAACAAGCTACGCACGCACGCTCTCAGTATCTACGTACGCACCGACCGAGCGAACAAGCGCGCAAGATTGAGGCGCCGGCGCAACCGTGCGTGAGCGCATGGGCCTCCCTCCCATACGTGCGTGCATGTCGTGAGGTAACGCGTCCCAGGCGCTGGACAAGCGCACGCTGGGTAATCAGGCGCTTGTGATAAATGCGACGTCGACGCCTTCTCGAATGCTTGCTTCTATATACATTCTCGTCCGTAGCGGTGTGTCTCCCCCAAGCAAGGCCCATGGTGTTGCATGCATACGTCGTTCTAGAGATATTGTAACGTAAAAACGTTTCAATTTCGGAACATAGTTTTGATTTTGTGCCGTACTCTTCAAGTTGGGATGAGTTACCTCTACCACACTCAATTAGGGAACAATTCTATCGACTATACCAGTTCTTATCGCAAGAGCAAGAACAATAAGGATTTATGAAAGTGGAATAGAAGAGTTTTTGGTTAAGAAGGTGTCATGAATTATCAGAACCGATGTTTGACGGGTAATTTCATGTGGTGATTTCGTAACAAAGTTTTTCCATGTGTAAGCAGGCCTCGAGATGACATGGGACGAAATGACAGTCAGCCGCCACCCGCCACCAGGCAAGAGAAAGCCGCTGAATGACACGAAACGCATAGATACGAGTAGGTTAGGTGCCAAGATCGGAGCACGAGAAAGACCGGACTGTCTCAGCTTCATATGAACCGCCGAGCTCGGAGCTTGGGTCCGGGAGAATCTGACCGGCGCGGTCGACGTGTTGCGGCAAAGCTAATTGGCCCAGTACATGTCGCTCACAATGCGCCTATGACAATGATTTGCGACTCAAAATCTGTCATGTCATGGCGCTACTGGGCGCAGCTCCGCGGGCGTTATTAGCTGCCGCGCCACTAGAGCAAACCGCGCCTAACTACAAGCAGCAGGAAAGCTTAAAAGAACGCGGCACATAAAAATTACGTAATTGCGTAGCATGGATACTTTTTATAAACGCGCATCGAGAACAGAACCGTGAAACTAAGGAGTAACTAACCGAAGCACAGCAATAAAGAACAGTTTGTAACATGACCTACAATCAGGCTATTATGCAAAGTTACCTTGGAATACTAAGCATATTGTTTCATACAGACAATTAAGCTTCGTAACTGACCCATTATATTTGCTTTATGTTGGCAGAAGTAGAAGAACGTTCACTAAAAAAAGTTCACTTCCGATGCAGACTTTCAGAGATGTGAACTCTAGACGGCAGCTGAAAAATACGCACATTACAGTTATGAGTGAGACAATCCCTGTGATGCAAGGCTGCATTTGATCGACCTCGGAACCACCGTTGAATGCAGTCAATTACTAAGGCATCTCGCGACCATGCCCATTATGAGCAGCTAGCCACACCTCCGATGCACAAGGCACTTCTTCCCAATGTGCAGCCTCTGAACGCACGTCTCTATTGAGGTAAAAGCCCCAAATCTCTTAATTTTGTGACCACAACATGCGGTCATGGGACTCGGAAACCCTGGATGCCGAAACGCTGGAGACAAAAAGTACGCTATATGGAATTCTATGGAAAATTATGAATTTTTCCCCATTTACCATATGTAAAATGCACCTCGTATAGAGTTAGTATCGTGTCAACGTTTCGTGACCAATTGACATTTTCCAATGATGTTCGCATAGCCTTCAGGTTGAGTTTGAAAATAAGAAACTAATAGAAAGTTGTCGTCAATGAAAAATTCAAAGATATTGTTATTTACAACTAAAAAACGGTGTTAATCTGAAATATTTCAGCAAGTTCCACGGATTTCAAACAAATCCTACAAGGTGCCGGAACGAGCTCAAGAAGGTGACGTTTGACTATGAGACTTCCTCTGCATGGACCAACATCCGAAACTTGTGTGCGGCGTGGCGATATCTGGAACTGTGTTGGCAGCACCTTTGTTTGTGTTCCCATGAACTTCAGCGCAGCAACGACAGTATAGCCATGTGACCCGGCTTGGTCTACGTCAGACCAGCATTTAGCGAGATTAACTGCTTGGTCGTACGTCCGTATTTAGCGAGCCTAACTGCACGGTCGTACGACGCTGAACAAGTGGCATTTGCCATGCCTTCAGTTGTCCACACGGCCTTCCTCTTTCCAGCGGAGCGACAGTATTTCATTGCTGGAAGGCTGGCGAAGCAAGAATTTCACTAGAAAGATGCGTGATTCTTTGCATGATATGTAGAGAATCTTGTCCCGATAATTCGAACCAACTAAGTTAGTTAAGAATAGACGAGGGGAATACCCTTTTCAAGTTCGATCAATATGACGAAAATTATTTTGTAATTATTAAATTATTTTTTATTTTGATCTCCGTTGTTTCTTCACAAATTTGGCATTAGAACTCGGCAGCACATGAATTTTATTCAACAATTAAGCAATTTTTAATCGTTTACTTTAAAAAATTTACATTTTACTTAACAATCTTAGTATATAAGAAGCAGTGGAGAACAATTCAACAAATGTTTAAGAAGTGCAAGAGAAAAATCTATCGTAATCTTGACGCACAGAAAACAGGACGGGCAACCGCGGCGTAGCTAGCGTGAGCTTCCGCCATTCATTCAAGAAGCGTTGCGTTCACCTCGTGATTATTGCACAGAAATTTGGCTCATAAAAAGTTTTTCACGTAAATAACAAGTAAAGTATAATCTTTATATTCAGTAACAATGTACACCAGAGAGTAAAGTTAGCCAGGGTTGTATATTATTTTCGAGTACGACTGGAAAAGCAGGCTTTCTACACGATGGAATGTGCCAGGAATGAGAAGAACTTGAACGCATGCGGTTGATTCTAACCTGTTGCGCCAGCAAGAGCAGCAACAACAACAACATCAAGAGCAGCTGGCGCTCTGCCAGATGCGAGAAAAACTGAGTGTCACTGAGCAACTGACCAGCCATATGACGTATTATGAACGCTTGGTGTGAGTAGAATGAACGATGTAAGTGATAAGTAAAATTTTAATGCAAAGAAAATCAGATTAAGAAATTAATTGATAGGTAATAAGTTTCAAGCGATAAAATCATGCCTGCAAGAGAATCATCGATGAAAAAAAATCATGAATATCTTACAAGAATGGCCTAACAGCCTAACGCTAATTTTAAAAGCTGCTTTCAAACTACTCATCAACTGACGCATCCGCAGCTACTGTGTCAAAATGAAACGGACATTTTTCTTCTACAAAAATCTGCGTAAATAAACTGCCTAAAGAGCCTAAAAATCAAGATTGACCGCATCAAATAGCATCAATTTTTAATGTTTCAGCATAAAAACATTATTGCCATAATTGAAACTTGCTCGTTAGCGCAAAAACTACAGCAAAACGAACTGTTCCCATCTTTCCCTTAAATTAGTCATCAAAATATACATTCTAAGTGAATTTCAGCACTCACCTGGAGATTTCAGCAACGTCATAAATCTTACCTATCATTAGGTATCAGTCTAACCCGGCAAAGGCTACCGTGCGATATCATCGAACGAAAAATTAAAAGATTACAAGGAAGCTTGCTCGTCATCATGCGTTAAAATTAAGAAACAATGAGGAATATTCACCTGGTGTGGGTGAGAGCGACAAGGTGCGTCGCGGTTTGAGCGTAACTCTTCGCAAGAAGGTGGCAACCTCGAAGCCAACTGCCGCGGCCCCGATGGCGGCGACTCCACTGACGCCATCAGCATCATCATGCATGCGATGGTGATGGTGGGAGCTTTCCACAACATCATTGTCATTAACAACCTCCACTGCGTCATCCTCAACGTCATCATCGTCATCTTCGTCCTCGTCAAGCTCAATGTCGATGATCTCTGCATCGTCGTCAGCCTCAACTTCTACTTCTACATCGTCATCCACAACATGTCCGATGCGGCGGTGGTCGTCAACATGGACAGGGTTGTCTCTGACTCGGCTCTTTGGAGCGCTCGGCTTGTCGCTGCTTTCTTCCGAGGATGAAGATCGCCGAGTGACACTGCGATGCCGATGATGTCGGCGGTACAGGCTGCGATGGTGCAGGTTATGCACGACTCTCCGTCTTGGAGAGGCCATTTCAGAATCCTGATCTTCGTCTTCCACATCGCCATCTTCTTCTTCGTCTTGGTCGACGCGGTCACGTCTGTGGAGACTGTGGGACCGTCGGTATGGAGTGGAGGACCTCGGAGGGAAGAAGAGGGTAGCAGCAGTGACGGTCGTAGTCGGGGGAGTGGGGCATGGGGACGAGGGAGGAGAGTGAGAGAGGAACGGGGAAGGATGAGAAGGAGCTGAGGAACTCAAGTACTGAGGAGCAGGAGTCGAGAAGGCCGACACCGGGGAGGAGAAAGCAGAGGTCGTCGACGAAGGCGATGAAGAATAAGGCGGGGTCGAAGGAGGCGTTGACGATGGGGACGAGGGGGGCGAGTCGTGCTCAGATTTAATAATGGGCAGGGGAGGAGTGGGCGAGAAGGTGGTTGGGAAAAAAACGTCTCCCCTCATTTTCGATTGTCAGAGTACAGGATCTGCAAGGAAAAAGAAATCAATATAGTTAAATCATACTTCTTAACCAAGCATAACACAATGAATAAGCACTCACATGACCAATAATTTTGCTTAAATGTTTCAATTGCCAAGTTTCATTGAACGCATTCAATCACGAAGCCCCGTAAGTAGGGCAATTTTTAATGTTCCTAAATAATGCAATTTTTTCAAAACGCATTCACAATCGATGTCACAACTAATGGAACTGTAATCTATAGCTTCCTCGCACGGCTGCAATGAATTAGCCATCCTTGTGCATTAGGACAAAGTGATGCGAGGCCTCCTTAAAAAAGGGCGTCGAACAATTTCATTTCTCGCTGCAGCCCATCAGTGAATATTTGGCAACACAAACAAGCGGACGTTTGTGCAACATGACCCTAGCTAAGGTAAGCAAATCCTGCAGGTTAGTGCAAGGCAACAGGAACTCGCTTCAGGCTTGGGCAGTAGAGGATTATATCAGGTGAAATCTCTAGATGAGTTTTTGTCGTTGTGTGGTAAGGCGACCCAAGTAAGGAGGTATCCAGCGTTCTCGGTTTTTGTCCACTTGAGCCCTTCGAGGCAGGATAGCCAGAATGAGATTCGACCGCAGAGTTGTAGCAATTCGGTGTCCCATGTCCTAATCTCCTAAGATTGGACGCGTCTCCAGCACGGGCTTCGAAGTCAAAATCTCGTTACGTCGCAATGTGAGCTTCTTAATAAGATTATAGTCACCAGACAGCGGCGTCTCATCATCCAAAGCGTCCCAGACAAAAGCTCTTGAATAAAATGAGCGGGATTGCAATTAGTTCGATATGCGAGGCCTTTTCATACGTTCATTTTTGCTTAACAAAAGTGAAATATATTTTTCATGAATTTATTAAGAGAGTGCTCTAGAAGCTGCTCTCTCTCTCTCTCTCTATCTCTCTCTCTCTATCTCTCTCTCTCTATCTCTCTCTCTCTATCTCTCTCTCTCTATCTCTCTCTCTCTATCTCTCTCTCTCTATCTCTCTCTCTCTATCTCTCTCTCTCTATCTCTCTCTCTCTATCTCTCTCTCTCTATCTCTCTCTCTCTATCTCTCTCTCTCTATCTCTCTCTCTCTATCTCTCTCTCTCTATCTCTCTCTCTCTATCTCTCTCTCTCTATCTCTCTCTCTCTATCTCTCTCTCTCTATCTCTCTCTCTCTATCTCTCTCTCTCTATCTCTCTCTCTCTATCTCTCTCTCTCTATCTCTCTCTCTCTATCTCTCTCTCTCTATCTCTCTCTCTCTATCTCTCTCTCTCTATCTCTCTCTCTCTATCTCTCTCTCTCTATCTCTCTCTCTCTATCTCTCTCTCTCTATCTCTCTCTCTCTATCTCTCTCTCTCTATCTCTCTCTCTCTATCTCTCTCTCTCTATCTCTCTCTCTCTATCTCTCTCTCTCTATCTCTCTCTCTCTATCTCTCTCTCTCTATCTCTCTCTCTCTATCTCTCTCTCTCTATCTCTCTCTCTCTATCTCTCTCTCTCTATCTCTCTCTCTCTATCTCTCTCTCTCTATCTCTCTCTCTCTATCTCTCTCTCTCTATCTCTCTCTCTCTATCTCTCTCTCTCTATCTATCTCTCTCTATCTATCTCTCTCTATCTATCTCTCTCTCTCTCTCTCTCTCTCTCTCTCTCTTGTACAAGAATGAATCGTCATCAGCAGCAAGATTTAATAATTTAATAACTTAATATGCTTATAAATAAAAAACCCTGTCAACATACATGCGGTGGATATCTGGAGCTGGATATCTGGAGCTGAATATGTCAACTACGCCTTTGTCATTATTAAGACAAGCACGTGCATTAGCGGGCCAGTTACAGGTTAGTTGCTAACTACTAACTAGACGTAAAAAAGTACCATATCCACTGTCTAGAAATTAGCTCCTACAAGTTCATTTCACACCCAAGTCACATATAGAATACCGTGGCATTGTGACGAAAGAAGGGCTAACAAATAAGGCTTGTTAGTAAGACGGCAGAATGCGTAAACAGGCTTAAAACAATAGCAATGCACGCAGCCTTCATTGAGCAGCATGCAGCGCCGTTAGAATTTGTGCACTCGCTGCAAGGCAGGAATAATAACGCAAATCAACCGTTGAATATTTACTAAGGAAGCAGTTGTTGCCCGTCGGGCACAATGAACTCAGAAAACTTAACCTAAATTCTACACCAGTGTAATGAAATGAAATTTTTAGTAACACAGCAGCAATAAGCGAGTAACGTATAAGTATTCGATTTAACTTTACTAGGCTATTCAACAGCTCCAGCATTTTTAAGGTTGATAAAAATAATACTTCAAGAGAAAGCTTCTGAAAAGATCAGGCACGAAAAATGTACCACAGTGACCAACGCCAGCACGTTTTACAGAGCTGGCGATTAAAAAAACACTAGGTTTACAAGCTCATTTGGCGCCAAACCTGAGCTACGAACGCGACACACCCTCGCCAGCGTCCACCGCAACCACAGCTAAAAACGCAGGCAAGGGCCGAGCTCTGCAATATACTCGTACAATTCTCAACCAACGCCTTTTCTAAAATTAATTTAGCCAATCGTATACGTGGCACTCGTTACGATCACTCAACGAATTGCGATCGTTGATTTTTCATTCTAGAAAATAGCCAAACCGGTAAGGAAGATACTGATGGAGACGAAACTAATTAATTTCTCCAAGAAAGGTGGAAGTCTCACAAGCAATTCAGTAAGTGGTCAGTTGAGTTGCGGTAAGTCAGTCCCACAAATCCCATTCAACTGCTCAGGATTTGAAGGAAGGGACCGAACGCTGGCAACATCATTAACATTGGTTACAAGCAGCATTTCTAAACTGAGAACTAAGTTTATTCAATTTTCAACTCGAGTCTCCAGTTCCAAGAATCACAATTTGTACATAATGTTGGACGAAAAACAAAAAAAAAATGAATAAGTTGACTGCAGTCTGCATTGCCGCAGCTGAGAGGTATAAATTAAGGCACCAAAATAAGCACTAAAACAATAACAGACAGACGGGATATTTTCAGGTATAAAAATGGTTGAAATCTAAAATTTAATTCTGTAAACAGCATTGAAACCGGACGTTATTTCTAAGATCAAATATATATTTAAAAATGTGCACTTGATCTGTATTCAGGAATGATAATGTGACAATAACACAAGATTATGAATCTCATTCGTGGGTAAGATTGCTATTACATGCAGACAGAAACTCACGCCCCAAGCTCTGAGTCAACGAGTTTATCTACAATAAAATGTAGAAGGTTTTAAAAGAGAATAAAAAATTATCCGAGTATGTTTAAGGAATAAGACACAACAGATGGTAATCCGGTGAATCTATTTCTTAAATGTTATTCTTACGCTTCGAATTTTGATCAAAACCTAGAGTGGACCGACCGGCTTGAGCATCGTGCAGCAGCAACCGAAGAGCTGCCCACATTATCTGTTTCGACGTAACTTGTTACGACTAATCGGCAGCTATGAAGGTGATCAACGCAGTTGAATCACATCCTGTAGGTACTCCAGAAGCACTCCACAAGAATCGGTTTCTTATCAAAAATTATTGCAATGAAACCGTCATTAGTAGCAGCTGCTGATTAGCGATTTACCACGGACTCAGTTGTAGGCAGCAAGTTAATCGTCTTCGCAAGGAGAGAAAATACACAGAAATTCATCGGAGGCCTCTGACACGATTATTATGAACGCAGCTCCTGCAAAGGCCGTCGCCTTGTGAGGTATAAAGAATAAAACTTGTTCTGTTCCAGCCGTAATGTGTTGCGATTATTCGTGGTGAAAATTGCCATCACATTAAGGAACACAGCGCAAATCCTGCACAGACGTAGCGAGCACACAAACATACGAATAAAAGTTATAAGGGTGCGTTCCATCAATTATGAACGTAGAAAAATTTAATACCCTGACGATAATTATTCGCATGATAAAACCATGCATAAAATGGTGACCATAAATCAAGGCAGCTCACCAATTTGTGTACCCCAAGTAACCGCATGAGAGGAGCAGGCATCGAACAAAATTTGCATCAGGCCGTTTATCATATGCAGCAACACAAGCATTCATCACGTCGCTGAATGAAAAAAATTGTAGCAAATTGCAGATGAAAAAATGCCCAGAAATTCATAAAAAATAAATCCATGAACTTCGTGATTGAATGTAGTAGAGTAAACGCTTAGGTTATTTCCATAGCTTGGGTGACATCTCTGAATTCCGAAAATTTCTAAAACAAATTAATTAGTAGGAAAAAACGTGAAATTAGCTTACGTTAATGCATATGAATGAGGCTTATAATAATGTTTTTATTAACAATTACCTTTATGATTCATGCTCAGCTAATGAATTCTAGTAACTGGTGGGTTTATGGTTAATTATATTTTCCGCTTATCCCTTCGTCTGGCAACAAGAGCTTTCTTTGGTAGACAAAGGAATAACCCTTTGTCCAGGAATACATTAACCGCCTTTAATGTCTTTCTAAAGTAGAGGCCTGGTAACTTGAGCTAGACAAGCAGTATACTAAAGATTAATGTAGACAATACCGAGAATAAGGCATACGCTCTTCAATGCTGACAACTTCCGTGAACTAAGTACATTAAAGCTGAGATCAACAACAACTAGTTTGGAATCTACGCATATCAACACCTCTAATTGGGTTAGAGTGCAAAAGTGAGTCAAGTGCAATTAAATATAAAAAAATAATTAGTTTTAGGGTTACGCAGTGAAGTAGAGTAATGTAGCATGCAAACGAGGAGTGGGCCATCAGTAGTCAGCACAGCACTGGTGCATCAGCACCCAGCACAACACTGGTGCAAGTGTACCCAGCACAGCACTGGTGCAAAAGGATTGCTGGGGTGCAGGCGAGGCCCATTGCTTGCACGCGGCCGTGTGCCTCGCAGCGCCGGATGAGCGGCTCTTCCTCCAACCGTCCTCACGCAATTACCTGCAGCAGGTCAAAGCTTCTGCTCCTGCGCCAGACAAGTTCA